GAAAATTAGACACAGTTTGCAGTGCCGCACCCACAGCTTTGCTCTCAGAGGGTAAGAATTTCTTCAAAGATCCACTACGTTTTGTGTCGAAGCTTTCTGTCCGGCTTTTCAAGCATCTTTATAACCGTGAGCAGGGAGCACGGCCATCCTTGCGGCGTTAGTGTCTGATTATTCCTCGCAATTTTTCTTGAAAGGATAGCTTAGAAAAATTCGTTTTGCCTTGACAGAAAAACTCCTCAGCGTTGAAAGAAAACTTCTAAGACAGGCACGTAACGGTGTATGTCTTATAGTGTGACATTACCGTTTTCCGTCACGGAGCCACGGTACGCTCAAAACTTCTAGGCAGATGAAGCGCAGCGGGAACTTTTCAATATACAGATGCATCAGGAATTCTCGTACACTAAATAGTCAGCTTCTCGAATGGCCCGTGTCGAATTTTCTCTCTCACCGTGGCAGCCAACCATTAGTTAAAAGCTTCTGATGTGTAGCGTAAATTTCTTTTTAGGTGGAATCAGTCTCTGGTGCAGTATTGATTAGCTTTGTCAAGCACGTCAACCTGCTGCCCCTTAGAACATGCAACTGTTATCTACATTGCATTCAACGCATAGCGGCACACGCGCGTGCACGGATCAACGGGAAACTGTGCGTGCGTATGCGCCTGTCCACCAGACCTGGGTTCAGGCTACGCAGAATTCTAAAATAATGATCGATAACTTTTAACTGCTGGTTGTCTGCAGCATAGGATTGAACATTTAGTATACGAGGTTTCCTGATGCACTGGTATTTGCTTCATTTGGAATGCTATCTTACCGTCACTGGAATGCCAAGTAATTTCACACTGAGGTTTCTCATAATTGAATTTTCGCACTGTATTCTAGAGGTAACCTCTGATGTTCTAAGTAGCATTTCGTTCCTTTTGGGTGCTGCCTGCGACTGAGGTCACACCCTAAAGCACAGTGAGACTCAAAAATAGGGGCACCGTGATTCTTAATCAAACTTATTCCGACCCTCAACATTTCATTCATTCTTTGTCGAATGACATGGGAAGCATTTGTTTTGAACCTTCGGCAAAAAGAGAAACTAATCATTTGTATTCCTTGAGTTAATTCAAATACTTGGAGGTAATTTCAACACGGTTCCCGTTTTGCGCTTGAGGGCAAAACTGGCCTACACAAGAGCAACAGTACACAAATCAACCTAACGAACCATTACCACTTTGATTATTATTATTTACTCCATGTACATTTCTGGATAATTTATTTAGTCATTCTTAAAGTATTCTCCTGCACAGTTTATCGTGTACGTAAATATCTACCCACTGTTTAATTTTTTGACTATTCTTATCAGGGACCGAAGCCAATCGAAATTAAAGTAATGGATGCTCTGTATCCCAAGCTTTCCGATAAAATGGATAAAAATATCACGGAGCGCAAAACATACGTGTTCGAAACCTCCGGGGATAGAATGTATATCCGACTGGACAGTGCTCGGGCCGATGTCACGAATTTACAATTCGGTTTTAATGCCGTTTTAAGTAAGTGTTGGGTCATGTCTCAGAGACACCCAGATGAATGTTGCCAAGATTCCATCTCATAAACCGGGTTTTATGAGCTTACCTTGTGTGTGGGTGTGTGCGCGTGCTGGAGGAAAACTGATCATTACCAACACTATGATATGAGAGTAGTCGAGTATTTGATGTAAGTACAAGCGATGAATCCATCGTGTAAATGAAGCGTGAGCTAAAACACCAAAGAAGCTCATGTGACCTGATTGGACCTCATCAGCACTGCGCGAATCCGTCTGCCGAATGAGGATAGAACTCGGGATCACGCAGGTAGTATGTTTGCGTTCTAACTGAGTTTAGATTCAAAAGTTAAGTTTAATTTAAAAGAAGTCATACACTGCGATGCTATTTCAAATCAGCTGAACCGCACGGTCATGGAACCTTTTCATCATAGGTTTACCCACAAGAACCCTTACTGTGAACTTCAAAGCTTTATGTGAGTATTGAATCAGGAAGACGGACCTCGTTTTGCATAAGCGATTGAAAATCTACCTGTTTGTATGTGTGTATGCCCCAGATTCCAGATCGAATATTTTCTAGCTTGGCATAATTTGCCTGATATAAAATTAATGAACTTTATTGACTGAAATGGGTAGAAAAGTTTACTTTGCAAACCATTAACCTGACGGTGTCCATTTCCATGGTTATAGCCAACGACAATATTCCAGGCGAATGTAAGTTACCGTTTAAAACTGTGGATCCACTTTCTTTTCATTTTTTTGTTTGTTTTTAGTTCAACACAACGAGCTGCTTATCACCAGAGATTACAGTAATGACTTTCAGTCGTTTCTAATTCGAGGCTAATGGCTTCGGCTTTTAACCCGAGAGTTCACAGTTCATGGTGTGACTTGAAGATGAATTAAAGAAAACTTCGAACGCGCTCCATCCGAGACGAAATATCTGTCTAGTGCTCTCTGTCGATAATGTAATGAGTAATATATATATATATATATATATACATATATATGAGCTTTTCGTCCTTCAATACTTGATGTTATTTCTGGAGGATGCCGGTAATCTAAAGCTGTTTAATCAACATTGAAAATACCACAGTCAGCGTTTACACGGAACAACTGCGGTACTCCCGCCCGAAATTCATTCATGGCATCACTTGGTACCACCAAACGTTATCCATAAACCTAAAACGTAACACACATGAGTAGTTGCTTGTCTCTATAAAGAAGTAATACGACATGTGTCGGGCTAAGAGCGAAACGAACCACAGTAAGCCTTGAAGTTATCGTGCAGCATTCTTTGTGCTTGCTGGATTACCTTCTTACAAACGATACTTTCCGCCATCGGGAACTCACAGTAACTTGCCCCCTTAGCTGCAACCACCTTGTTAACCACCCCGAAAGTTGCGTTAGAATTGAGGTAGCAACTTTACCGAAATGTAAAAGACGTTGACAGGTTCTCTGATAATCGGTCGATCGATTAGAACTGAACCTTCTTCGGACTTCACCTTCACGCACGTTTCTCGGCTCTTCCAGTCAATCATACATCTGGAAGCGCTAGACTCGCGTTTCTCCCTTATTAGAGCTCATCAGTAGTGCACACCTACCGTCCCGTTCGGGATTTGAACTCCGAACCCATCTCATGGAAGGCTTGTTACCACTGTGCCAACCGTTTTACTCCAGAGCCGAACCGACTTATCATTCATGTTTGTTCAGTTGTAGTTTTCTGAGTTAGTCAGTCCGTTCAATTTGGCCCGACAATAACAAAAGGAGACAGTTAGCTATCTGTTAACTCCCATCGAAAGCCTATCATCAAATCAGCTCTTCCATGCAGGTTACGGGCCAGCTGGCCACAAATGTTCTAGGCTGGATTGATAACTCGCATTTGACTCACAGTTACTTTACGAGTAGCGTTGCGGGATAATTGATATTGATCGATTGATTAGAGCTGACCATCCTTCAGACTTCATCTTCACGCACATTCCTCAGTTCTTTCATAATCGTTCTGTTTGACATAAAATTATACGCTATCTTCCATGAAATACCCATTGATTTTGCTCCAGAGCTCGGAGCTGCACCTGCCTGATTTCCAACATATTGTTTTTGTTTTATAGATAGGAGCTTGCACATTGTCGCATGAAATGACTTCACCTTGGACGGGTGACACTTATTTGACTTGAATACATCAATTAACTAATCATTGAGCAGTGTTGTATGTGTATCATACTAGGTGCGACGTCACTGGTTGGTTTGTCAATGATCAACCAGTACATCATTCAAAAGATAAGCGAGTAACTGATTGAGGGAATGAAGCGTTGAGGGTTGAGGGGGACATTGCAGGGTCATGACCTGTGCGGTTGCGAATACGGTTGATTTGGGTTTGCTAAAAATGGCAACAGACCGGATAATGTGAAGTCTCTCTCTGACGGGCGCGATATAGTCGGATGATGAAAGGCAAATGCCACTTCTCAACTCCACCCGTTGCTTTGATTATGACAGCTAGTTAAAAAAGTGTTACATAAATTATTTTTTTTCTAGACTGTACTCCCCGCTTTGTCGCGCTCAGCCCATTTTCCTATTTTTTGTTTTAGCCGGGTGTGCAAAGGTGGTGACCACAAACGATCTGATCGTATTACCGAGCGGGATGAATAACGCCGAGGCATCCGGTGAATGCTATTGGAAGGTGAAAACTCCTCCAGGTTCTTCTAAAGGTTTGATAATAACCGTACCGGATGTAAGTTCAGACAGCCGTCGAGCAAGATTTTGTTGAGGTTGTTGTCCTTCTCGGTATTTGTAAAGATAGATTTTTGCGGTGTATCCAGTACTCCTAATTTCATATAGTATTTCTCCCTTTCCCGCGAATGCGGGAACTGTGGATCGTGGAATTCACTCTGATCGCCTGTACTGTCCCAGGACGGTATTAGGTAGATTTTAAATGTGAGCTACAGGAAACACGTTATTTCGGTTAATGTGTCTAAACTGAGCGAATCACACTCGAGTGCACCCCTGAGACTATCTCGCGGAATAGCAAAGAAAACGAATTCATTCATATGTATCATTCATGGATCCATTGTCGGTTTGTCCTAACGGAAGTATCAAGCATTTGCCGAACAAGATCAACTAAAACCAATCACAGCCACCACCGAATGTTGCAAGAGGTCAACCAAGCTCCCTCTCTTGCGCATTGAGAGAATAATGAATAAATAATTTTCACCAAATATCGCGCACGTTAACCCTTTTAGCTCCTCACATTTTCAAGGTTTCATTTTATTCAATCGACCCTATCAGTCTCGTCCTTCAGTATAGTGCAGATTTTGATACTTGTTACATCGTTGCGCTTATGGACGGTAACAGTAATACCCAATTGCATGAAACGCGGCGGTTATGAAGGATCTACCATTTGATTTGATGTAGCACGTGTCTCTCGATGTTCTAGACCTATTCTAAGTGTGTCATTCCCTGCATGTCGGCTTTGGTTTTTTGAGAAGTTATTATAACGTTTCTTAACCAGTAAATACTTTTGACAGTCTTATTCATATCGGAATCCCTTTAGATGAGTATTTTAGCACGTTCCAAATCAAATGATCTTCGGTCGTGCTTCACTGGTCCGTTCTCATTGATTGAATGCAGGAATCCGCGCAATGGGATTTAGTTGACTAATTGAGGTCCGTTCACAAAACACTCATAATAGCTAAATTGACTTGATTGCATAAAACATAACAGAACGTCGGTCCTGTGGGTAACTTACCCCATTCAGCTATTGAACATCAACGTTGTACACTTATTCATCCGTGCTCTGCAGATGCGTCACACGTGCAGCTTAGAGGAGCATTGTAAAATTGGAATAAAGTTGTTTCCATCATGGGACCAGAGGCCTGGGAAATCTTTTTCGTATGATCCCACATGAACGCGTTTGTCCGAAGTGGAGGAGAAAATAGTGCACGCTCGGAGAAGTTCATGCACTATAGTTTTGGGGAACAAAATCCAACGAACGGTTCAGTGTTGCTTCCAAAGTCATGATTCCCGCTAAATTCAGCGAAAGTTCCCTAAACGTCCTCATCAAGCGGAAAAAAACTTTTCCAGTTTTGGACAATTTACGAATGTGACAGTTTCTTTCACAGTCTTGATAGTCACTATAGTCATGATAGTTCACCGGTTAAACTGGTCCTTTGGTGATTGGCAGATATAAATACTGGAAATGTTTTACACAGGTAATCGCACAATCGTTGAAATCGATCATAGCGTATTACAGACATGATTATAAACCGTCGACATTCGATACAGTCTCCTGTTTATAAATCTGCTTAAATTGCAGTCTCAGTTGCCACACGAATTTCAGATATGGTTATCTGTGAGGTTCGTCTGATTTCTTACAATCAGTTTGGTAACTCGCTTCCATTTGCGCAAGATTTGAGATTTTACTATTGTCTGTTACTGTTTTCTATTCCCATTACCAATCTTCCCCTCGAAACAAGTGTCCATCAGATGACACAAACTGTTATCTGCGTTATTTGAGAATATTCGAGGGTGAGGGCTTAAACAAGAAACGTGTAAATCCAACATACAATCCGCGTAATACAAATTTCAACATCAAGAGCGAGGTGGCCATTTTGGAATATTACGGTTGTCCACTGGTGTCAGATGCCAAAATCAGGGTGAGCGCGTGAAAACTGCGTGAAATGGGGGCATTTCGCCAGACACTTCGTTCCCTGTTTGACCGTCATTGGATTTCTACCATTTTTCTTTGTATCATTACAAATCCCGCTTGGAAATAGCGATCTGTTTTTCTCCCCGCGCCGTCCATTTTCTCTTTCTCTCCCTCTCTTTCTCTCTCTCTCTGTGATTCTCTCACATATTATCACTCTGATCGATTCGTGTTATTTTTCAATTCAGGTTATGAATAAATTTGTGCTGAGTGTACTTCAATTTTACGACTCTTGCTTGGTATTTCAGTTAAGGTATGGCATCACGGGCAACTGATTGCGAATTAAAATGGCGATTTGAACGCTGGAATACATCATATGTGTGACGTATCCATAATACAGAACGTTATTCCTCCTCAATTTTTCAACAGTTGACGAATTGAAGTATATCTCGCCAAATCCTACACTTTATTATCCACTCTCCACGCCACACTGTGAGGCAACTTGTGCATTGATGTGATTCCTGCACGAAAGACAATGAGGAAAGAATATTTAGACGTAGCGCTCTAATTGATTTCGTACAAGCGGAGCTACTTTTACAACAAGAACAACAACTAATAATAATAATTATACTATTACTACTATTACTGTTGTATAGTTTAATTAATTATCAAGCTTATGTAATGTGCAAACTCGGTTGAAGTTTATTTGGGTGTGAACTGCAATGGATTATGAGCAGTCCGTAGATTTGATACTTCTGGCAATTTCCAACCGGAGTACAATGTGAGTCTAGCACATTCGAGTGCACCGTTGATGATGGGAATAACTGCGGTTCGTACGTGGTGTCTGACGATGGTCACATTATACGACCAACATATACCCCACGCCACATCTAGTTGCGATTTCGGTGCGAATGCCGGAAAAGAGGTCGGAAAGATATGTATGTAAGCCAGTCACAAAGTTGAAATCAATCACAAATCGAGGGTACAGAAATAATTGGAAGGATGCCGTTCCACTGCAAATTAATCTAAATTAATATGAGCTGTTAACAAATTGAGAAGAATAAGAAGAATAGAAAACTCCGAACTGTGAATCCAATTTTCATCCTTAAATTGAGAGTGGAGAATTCGATCAAAATTCGGAGTGATCCCAATAAAATGTCTCCTACTTCTATTGGTTCCAAATCAACAGTTTGTTGAAAATTCCTAATTTTTCCATATCACACATATATTAAGTACCGGGAGTTAGACAACAGATCAACAGATGCAAGAGAACGATTGCAAAGCCTGCACCCAACATCTATTTGCTTCGTTTCCTCTAGTGCAAATTAGTGCAAACATTGCATAATAAAAATCATCAGATATTTTTAAATTAACGGGTTCCAAATAGAAAAACAACATCAATCCTCTTACCGTGAAAGTACCAAAGGGGAGAAACAGTTCGGTTTAGTTCAGTTCAGTTCTCATGGGAAAACTTGTGGCTCTTTCCAATAGAGCTTTCAGAAAGGCAGTAGGTCTCACCGAGTTGGTTCTGTTTACACAGGAGAAGGACAAATATTTTTTTCCTGAAAACTACAGTTATATTTAAGGGTAAGAGTTTGATGAACTGAACGCAATGGTGTGGCTGATACCATGTGTTGCTTTGAGTGACTGACGCCCCCGTTATGCAACCTCAAAACAGCCTTCAATCTTGTTTGTTTGGCCTGGTTTACGAGCTTCTTCGGTCACTGACTAGGGCGATACCGGGAGACAAACTAAACGTCTCGATTGCACTAGTTATATTATTGGATAAAAAGGAAAATGAAAAAAAAACAGCTTAATAAATATGCATCCGTTCTCACCGGAATTGGGATCATCGGATTCAAACTTCACAGTTTTCTTGTCGCATTGTGGCTCGTGCGACCTTTAATTTACCATGGGACACATTGGAAGTTCATTTGTAATCGTCCAAATGCCCCATTCGGTGGATGGCCTTCCAGCTGGTTTCATTGAGTACGTTCTGACTCACCATGGGCATGGAAACTAGCTGATTGTTTGAGATCAGATTTCGACTGATGCCCGAAATCCAGGCTCCGAAATTGTTCTCATCAAACACGTCACTCACAGAGAAGACTAACATGGCCGCACCAAAATTACGGTTGCTAACTGGTTTCTAACTCGGGAGCAATATGTCTCGTACATTGAAGTATTCTATGGTTTACTCGTTTGCTTAAAATAATCTCTCGTAATTGAAAATAAGGGGGGATTCAAACTGTGTCAAGTCAAACTTCAGTCGGCCCATTGTTTGACTGCCGAAAACATGGCTTTAACAGTAAAAAAAATTACTCCTAAAGATTTGGGATGTTTCTAGAGCTAGTTCGTTACACTCAAAGATACAATAATAGAGATTCAGACAACCTTATCCACGGCAACTACAGGAACAGCTCCAAGCGTCAAATTGATTTACAAAGGTCAGTGGTATTATGCAAGACGTCTGCTGTAGCGACATTTCTTTCGCATATCATGAGTTACTTCATGCGAATTATACAAATGGACATCATATATGTTTATGGGATATGGTGACAAATAGATTCAAAGGAGAGATTCACACAACTTCATCTTTTCCCATCAAGCTTTAGTCAGAACCCGCAATGCTTTAACCAAAACCCATAGTCCTTTAGCCTCGACACAAAATTTAGTCACGCCGCAGCAGGCGAGTCAGATCAAAGAATATCGGAATATTTTGAAATCAACGGATGTTGAAAAGAATTATTTTCTACAAACGTTGATGTTGCAAATCTTGGTTATGTAATAAGAAAGTGTGGGGGTTGCATGCTGGAGAAGGTTCAAGCGATGTGCCCTTATCGTTATATAATTTGACCCATCTCGTACAGCTTCAGTATTTTCGTATAACCTGCGATACTCCTGTGGGTAAAAAAGTGATTTTGTCAATGATCATTTTACCCCACCATCGACTCGCTCAATGGTTGGTGGAAATAATTGAACCGGTGCGATCGAATCTATGTAAATACAGCCTGCGAGACACTTTTGACTTCATCACCATTGTCGCTAACATGAACGTTAGAACAAGGCAATGTCATCATTCAATGTGCAATCACTGTTTACAAATTTTTCTGTTCAGGAAGTGATTTCAATAATTCATACGCAGCCGAGCACAACTTAAATCTTAAAGTAACACTTCCGGAATTATGCAGATTTCTAAGTTCATGCACATCACATGTTTAATTTGTATTTGATTGCAAATAATATAAACAAATAGACGGAGTGGCTATGGGAAGCCCTCCAGGACCTGTATTACCTGTCATTATCATGGGTTATCTTGAGGATAAGGAGCATGCAATTCTTCAACAAGTACCCGTGTATAGGCGCTATTTTGACGATGTCTTCCTGATTTGTAAGAGTGAGCGGCAGATGAATGAATTGCTTTAACACCTGAACTTGTTACGTACAAATATCAAATTTACGACCAAAAGGAAAACGAGTGGAGTTTTGCCGTTCTTAGATGTGCTTACAGAACGGCGGGTCGACGGGTTACTGGCTAGAAGTACCTACCATAAGAAAACTTGGTCAGGGCAATACTTGCATTTTAAAAGTTTTGGCCCAATAGCATACAAGCGTGAACTGGGACGTATATTTTTTAATCTAGCACACCAAAAGGCCAAGAAAGACAACATTGATAAAGATACAACAGTCCTCTATGAAACACTGTTGGACAACGGCTACCCTGCAAAGTTCTTTGATAAGTATTCCAGACAGCAGGGAGAAAAACATACACTGCTAACTGTTCCCTGGAAAAGTGTTTTTCTTTGTTTACCCGACAAAGGTGATGACTTATTGATTCTCATCAAACGCCGGCTCAATGCGGCAGTCAACGGAACGTACTATGCGGCCAAGTTGGTCTTCACTGAGTGGACAAATTGAGTGCCGACGCCTCCGAGAAAGGATCTCATCCCCACAACCGCCAACTCAAATGTAATCTATGAATTCTTTTGTATCTGTGACTGTAGATACGTAGGTCGTACATTCGCTCATTCGGGAACATGAATCTCGGAGCATATTCCAAAATGACTACTGGCAAACGCACCTGGAAGCGCTCGAAGCCCTAAACAAAACACATGGAGGAGACTGGCCACCGAGTGAATCCAAAGGACACATTCCGAGTTGTCCACCGTCCGAAATGACCCTACCAGCTAAACTTTGCGGAAGCAGTTACCCCAAGAAGAACGAACCCGATTCTGTACGCTCAGGAGCAGATGGTGGTCGCATTGGCTTTACCGTAGAGTTAATCCGCCCCGCTCCACACTATCCTTTACCCCTCATCTCATCTTTGTGATCAGGGTTTAAGCACTCCAATTAGTTTGGGCAGGTTGTTTAGGGTCTTGAAATACCTGATATTCTAGGTTTCGAAATCATCTGGGTCGTGTTCAAGGGGATCGGGACTATGCTGTGCGGCAACCAAAATGAAATGGTATTTACAACTGCAGGTCTCGTCACTGGCGCACTTTTTCGTCGTCAAACTCCGATACCAATGTTGTTCACTGTTACGGCAGTGACTTCAATGATGCGCCACTGCACAATAGCTTGTGATGTTTTGAACTATTCGCGGTTTTGTCGATGCATAATATATCAGGTCATTCTTCCTCAAAGACGCAATAGCTACCGATATCTGGTGACCGAATTCCCATCACCTTGCAATATCATTCCCTTTTGAACCCCCGGTTCCTCTGACCTCCCTCCCGATCACCCTACCATATGTCATTCTTATCCGAAACCTTGCTTCTTAATATCTGTGCATCTTTGCGCTCCACACCGGTGGCATCGACGCGTCACCCATCGGAGCGTGACCATTGAACGCAATCGGTCATCCGAGTGTTAACTCAAACCACCACTCATCGTAGTTTACATTCTGATTGAGAAAGACGTATCCCTATTTTAAAAGCGGAGAGGTGAGAAGACGACTTCTACACAGGCATAAAAGCACCACACTAACCTCACCGAAGTTAGACCACTAACTAGTAAGGGGAAAGGTCTCATGCATCCCAAGTGATTGAGTTCAGCCCACAAAGCCGCATGACATGGGAAAGACTCTCACAGTCAAAATTAGAGATTTATTATGGGAATTAGTTAAAAGCTCATGTTTTTGTTGTCCGCTTTAGATGTTTACGTAGTAGACTTGTTCCTCGGCAAAATTGATAAATGTCACATATAGTTCCATTTAGGGGGGAGATCATAATGTGGTTTTCAACTAAGTTGCGCTTGTAGTTATGTAGCAATGTCAGGCGTGTCAGGTTTTCATGAAGTCTCCGACAGAAAGATTAAACAGTTGGTGCATGAACGACGTGAGTTGGAAGGGTGTTGCTTATGGTACAAAACGTTTGCACCGGCATTCAAGTTTTTACTTTGAAGTCAATAACCTAAAACCATGTTCCCCAAATGTGAATGTTGGGCAACAGCGTGAGCAGTGAACGAGCTGCATGGTTTTGATTCTGCAATATCGTCAGTCTCACCGTTCGCTAATGTGCAAAAATGGGACGTCGCATAGTCTCAACAAGTGCCGCACCAGGTGTTTCGACGACAT